CTATCAACAGGGCCAAATAGCGGGCGTCCGTGACTTCCTCATGAGGGTCGCCTGCATTGAGAGCATGGATATTCACGACAGCGCGCTTCTTCTTCGAACATTGCTGTCCAAATGTGGTCACGCTTTGGGGGCGGGTCGAAATGGGGAGAACGCTCGAGCCTCTCTCTCTGCTCGGTGACGCGCAAAGCTCAGGCACCCATTTGGCCTGCGCAGCGCAAATCTTCCCGCTCTGTTCCTATCTCCGCTCGCATTTAACCTTGAAGTCAGTTTCCAATGCTTCCCCCGCGGGAATTACGCACCACCATCGCAGCCAGGCCCCTCCTGGGGCATAGAGCGCAGCAGGATTCCACGCGCGCAAACGGAGCTCCAACAACACAATGTACATGGATTTGTGTGGCACATGCGTGGCTTTGTTCCTTGGCTTCTGATTGTCTTCGCATCTTCATCGGGGCCAGTGAAGATAATCTCCGCCGCCCGCCAGATTCCGCCCGCAAGAACCTCCTCTGCCATCGGATAATCCTACTGTTGAGGAAAAGAAGTGGGGTCCTCACGCAGACTGTGATGCCCATGCTGGCGTTTCTTGACTCCTCCACCGTGGTTGGGAGTCGACGGCGCTAGCATGTGCCCCTCGACGATCGCACCGAGGCTCAGGATGGGCGCCCCGCGTGTACAACGAGACCAGCTATACGCCCTGATCTCGTCCGTTTTGGCAGAGTCAACCAAGAATGGGATTCCCCGCCTGGTGCAACAGCATATGTCTGTGAACCGCTGCATCGTGGCAGCGGACCAGTCCAGTCCACCCATGCAGGATGCATCGCCGTTCAATGACGCGCGATGTTTCTTGAGAGAAAACAATCGTGCCCAGGGCGGAATCGCGTAATCCTCCTTAGGCTTCGGAGTCTTTGTGCTCTCAGCATTCAATTATCAAGCCAGGAATGTCTTGTTTGATGCCAGTTTCCTCAACAATGTACAGCTATCTGGTATCATGCTGGGGTCGGCGTGGAGACCCATAGCTGCCCTTTGCGCTTCAGATACGCGCGTATTGCGTGTCTCTCTGGGCCAACAGCTAGTCACGCTGCAAGGACGGGAACCCTTCGATTGCTTGTCATTCATGGGAAGAATCACAATTTCCCCCATCGTGCTGCACGACGCGCTGCAAACGCTGATGGGGTGGCCAATCATAGAAGTAGTCATCGTGCCTTGCCGTTGTTGGACCAACATCGAATTTGACACAGTACGGCCAACCAGTCAACTTGCTCTGATCACTGCTTCCCCGAATATGAATCCAGCCCTTGTCCACGGCGCACATGCGACGGAAGTCACTCTCCGCTACCTCGGCCGGGTCCATTCGGGCTCCTCCAAGAGAGTCAGTGCCCCGATGCCCAGGACTGTGTGAGAGCCTTGGGTCGATGGGACCATCGACTGTCGCCGCGCTGTCATCGGCCTTCAGGGGCGCCCCTCAACTTTGGGATGGCGCTTCGCCCCATCACCTGCGCCGCAATTGAATCGCGAGAGGGATCGGGTAGCAACGACCCGCGATGTTCCACCCCGCGCGAGCAACCGCAGCCCCCATCGTCACGTCGTTCGCGCATGGGCCAAGTTCCGCGCCATCGGGGGGCACGCCTGGAACGAACGCTGGACAAGCGGGCAGCAGAGGATAGCATTGCCCCTCTCGCCTCAGAATCCGCGGCTCATCTTCCTCAACGCAGTTCCGGAAATTGCGTGGGACGTTTGACAAAATCGCTCCTGGGACACAGAGGCACTCTTCTTTCGTCAGGGGTTTCTTGACATGCTTGGCGTCGAGGATGCGCCTCGCCGCATTCCTGCCCGCGTGGGCGGCCACCCCCAGTGGCTGAGCCACCGCAGGGCCGCGCGCGGGGGAACGCCGCGAGCCCACTTGTCTTCGGGATGCATTCTGCGGACATGTCGGAGGCATTCATTTGACCACCCTTCTCGCTGACGTGCGAGTCGTCACTCTCATAGAAATTGTGATTATCAATGGGTGGATGCTTCGGCTTCTTATGTAATGCCGCACCATCCCAAATCACAGTATTTGGGGATATGCTAGCAGCCTGGCGTTGCTCGATCCGTCTGTTCATGTCAGCGCGGAGCAGCGTGGATATGTCATTCCACAACGTTCCGGTATCAATGTCTCATGCCCAACGTGCGTTGTCACCTCCTACGTGGAAAACATGCACGATGTTCAAAAGCGCGATCAGCAGCCTCGTCGGCGAAACGCCTCGCATCTATCAATGCCTGCGCCGCCTCCCTAGCTTGAGCGCGCCCGAGGGGTCAGAACTGCAGGGGGGGGGGGGGGGGGGGGAGGGGGGGGGGGGGGGTGGGGGGGGCGGAAAGTCCGACGATCAGCGTCGACACTTCGTTTTGCACTTCTGCCGCCAAGACGACCAGCGGCGACGCAACTGGAAGCAAGAGAATCGGCGAGGACACTCACCAACGACACAACCAAAAGCAAGACATCGTCGAGGACACTCACGAACGAAACTCGCGGCCGCATGGGCCACTTGGTCGACCCTTTTTTCCAAAGCAGCTCTCCCTCTCCGACGCGCGCCGAAGCGCATCGACGGCTTTACACGACCACGGAAGCGCGCGACGGCAAATTTCGCCAGGGCAGACTTTACAATGAAGTTATGTTCGGGGTCGTCGCCTCCGCAGCCGTTCAGCCATCATCATTTACGATGCGCGCGCGCAAACATCATCACCATCATCATTGACCTCCTCCTCCTCATCACCCCCCTATCCTTCCCTATCCCTCCCTACCCCTCCCTCCTCCCCTATCTCTCCCCGCCCCTCCCTATACCTCCGTATCCATCCCCATCTCTCCCTATCTCTCTTTATCCCTCCCGATCCCTCCCTATCCCTCCCTATCCCTCCCCATCCCCCCCCCCATCCCTCCTACCTATCCCTTCCTATCCCCCCCCCCCCGAGTCACACCCATTCCGTCCCCCGGCCCCCCCCCCCCCCCCACACACACACACCACCACACACACACACACACACACACACACACACACACACACACACACACACACACACACACACACACACACACACACACACACACAACCCACACACACACACACACACACACACACACACACACACACACACACACACACACACACACACACACACACACACACACACACACACACACACACCGCCCACCCCTGCCCTCGGAGATGAAGGGGTTGCTGGGGGAGAAGAGGAAGAATATGAGAAGCAAGGAGAGGCGGGGGACATGGCTCTGACGCCCCTCCGCCGCGCCGCTCGCGCCCCCTCGCAGCGGCCCCCCCAAGGCGATACGCCTTCGCCTCGCTGAGGGCGGGGGGGGGGGGGGGGGGGGGGGGGAGGGGGGGGGGGGCTCTCGCCCCCTCCTGAAACACAAGTCACAAGCTGGCTGCTCAGTCTTCCTGCCCTCCGTCCTTCCTCCTTCTGATCCTCATTCTCCCATCCGTCCCTCATACCCGCGCCCCTCCTTCCTGCCTCCTCCTCGCTCATCTACTTCATTTATCCTCCTCCTCCTCCTCCCCCCCCCCTCCCCCCCCGTCCTCCGCCCGTCTCCTCCTCCTCCTCCCTCCTCCTCCTCCTCAATTGTCCGATAATTTCTCCTCCCCCCCTCCCCCCCCCCCCCTCCCCCCTCCTCTCCCTCCTCCTCAATCATATTACATCCTCATTCCCCCGCAACTCCCCCCCTCCCCCACGCACACACACACACACACACACCCACCCAACCCCCCACCCACGCCACACCACCACACCACACACACACACACACACACCTCCACCTCCTCCCCCTCCTCCTCATCCTCCTCAGCATCATCGTCATCTCTTCTCGCGGTGGCTGAGCAGCTCAGCCCCCGCGCTAGCGCAATGTGCGCTCACGACGAGCGCGTCGCGCGCTTCAGGCCTCCAGGCTTGACCCTGGAGTTGTCGCTGGAGGCGCGCTTCTGGGAGTCGCCCTCCGCCGCCGAGGCCTCATCCTTAACCTTCGTCGCGGCGGCCGCCCCCTCCGACCCCTGCTGCGCCTTCGGCCGCGGCGCCCCGCGCGCGGGGCCCGCCGCGCTGCCGTCGCCCTTGGAGATGGCCCCCTCGGCGGCGGGGGCCCGCTGCTCCTGGGCAATGCTGTCGAACTCGGCCCAGAAGCCCTTCGGGATGTCCTTCGCCCTCTCGGCGCGGTGCGCCGCGAGGTACTCGCGGGCCAGCTTCGGGCCACTCGGCTCGGTCCGCAAGGACGGGAGCAGCTGCGCACCCCTGATCATGCTCACCACTTGCTGCGCCTTCGCCTGGAAGGCCCCCAACTCCTCAGATTCCCCGCCGCCCCCCCCCCCCCCCCCCCTACTCCTCATCCCCCTGCTCCTCCACCCCCCACCCCATGGCCGCATCCTTCGCCTGCATCGTCATCGCGATCCTCGCCCCTCCTCTTCATCATCCTTCTCCTTCTCCTGCCTTCTCCTCATCCTCCCCCCCCCCCCCCTCCTCGCCGCTCCTCCTCTCATCATCCTCATTCGCCTCCTGCTCCTCCTCTTCCTCCCCTCCTCCCCCTTCTCCTCATCCTTCCTCCTTCTCCTCCTCCTCCTGCCTCATCCCCTCCTCGTCCTCCCCCCCCCCCCCCCTCCTCCTCCACCTCCCCCTCGTGGTCTCATCATTCTCATTGCCATTCCCACCCCCGGCCCAACCCTCCTCCTCCACCTCGTCATCACCATGTGTCCTCCCCCACCTCTCCCCGTCCTCCTCAACTTCCACCTTGTCCGTCCATCCTCCCCTTTATCGTCGTCCTCCCTCGCCATCCGCCTCCTCGCCCTTCTACACCACCCACCCAGAGGTTTTCCTCATCCTCCTCCTTCGCCTCCTCCTTGTTCTCCTCCTCCCTCCTCCCTCCTCCCTCCTCCCCCCCCCCCCCCCCCCCTCCTCCTCCTCCTCGCCCGCTCGCCATCTTGGTCGAGCGCTGACCCCCCCCCCCCCCTGTCGCGAACGACGGCCTCTGCCGTCGTGTCGCGCTCCTTGATCGGGGGGCTCACGTCCATGAGCTTGCCAGCCCGCGCCGCGCACGATACTGTCTTGTGGGGCGCGTTGTAGGCGTTCACAGTTCCAGTCATGTTGTTGAAAAGGGCGTTGCCGATCTTCTCGCTGTAGTTCGCTGAGCCGTCGAACGCCGCGTCGAACTCAGGAAGGGCGCTCTTGCAATGCTTGTTGCTGGCTTTTAAAGCAGCCGAGATCTTCACCAAGAGAATTGCTTTGGTGGCCCCTGAAAACACTGCCACATACTTGATCCACTGCCTCACGCTCTGCGGGTTGAGGTGGAAAGTGAGCCCAGCCTTCTCGAAGGCGTGGCACTTGTCAGTCAGAAGGAGAAAATCGAGGCGAAGCAGTATCCGCTGCATCATACGCTGCGTGTGCACGCAGCGGCCGAACAACGCAGTATCGTCTAAGGGATTCGTCTGGAACATGTTATTGTGATGCTGCGCCGCGCAACCCACCAAGTCCTTGACCTGCGTCGCGATGTCCAAGTATGTCGCCGCCAACGAGCGCCCCATGCCCTTCGTCTCGCCGTTCATGCTCGCCCCTGGGAACACGATGAGACGATCGACTCCAGCCTGCAAGAATGACGCCAAGTCAGACACAGCAGCGTTGTAGCTGACCTGCTCTAAAGCTTTTTCGTCTTCGATCTGTCCGTCCACCCAGCTGACGTTCTCCAAAAACAGATCCTCGATGCTGCCGCCGCCGAAGATGGTGACCAGCCTGACGAAAACTTCTTCCGCAGGTACTGCTCGAATCACGCTCTCGTTGACCTCGTTGATGTTGAAAGAAGGGCTCGGAGCGATCTCTGCGATCTTGCCGCTAATGAAGATGTCGGAGCACTCGGTGTAGATCTTCATGCCTTGATGGGCCGGGTTGCTCTGAACCGATGGTGCCTCTCGCCGCCTTCCCTCCTTCCGTAGAGTAGCCCCTCCGTGGCTGCCCACGGCGCGCAGCCGAGACGGCTTGCTCTACCTGAGGGAGGGTCGCGGCGAGATCAGCACACTAGTGGAGATCAACCCGCGGGGCCTGGACCCTCGACGAACGCCTTGAAGGCACGAGTGGTGCCCTCGATGATCTCCTTGCGAGTCGCGGCGCTCGGGGCGTCGAACACGAAATCATCCTTTTTCATGAAATTCACCATGCCTGCTAACTGGGCGATGTCATTCGTGAACTTCTCGTGCGTCTCCCTTGTCGGGGCAGCTATCTTTCTCATCTCCACCAGCTTCGCGCAAAACTTTGGGAACTCCGCCATGTTCTTCAGAACGCTAGTCATACGAATGAGCCCGTTCTCGAAATTACCAGGGTTGAAGAAGTCCTCGCACATGTGCTCAAACACCGTGCCACCCACGCGCTTGTGGAGCATGTTCGCGCATCACATCCACCTGGCATGCAAGTCGCTGAGGGACGCCCTGAATACGTCAACGCTATCCTCGAGCAGCTTCGCTGTGCTTGTGAACTCTTCGATGTCGGCCTTCAGCTTGTTGATCTCCAATGCCTGGGCCGTCGCCGCGTCATCACCGACAATGGCCATGGGAAAAGAAACGAGTGCGTCACCGAAACCAGGGAGAATGTCGATGATGAGCTCCGAGAAGATGTCAACGAGCATGTACTTCCCGACCCCCAGCAATACCATGCAGTTGTTGAGGTTCTCGGCAGTGAACTTCAGGTTCGTATGGCACGCCGCCGTGGACCACGCCTTGGTCGAGCCGTGCGCACTTGTGAAGAAGAGGCCCATGCGGTTGAGAAGTGCACTGAGATTGGCGTAGCCAACCTGGTGCGATTCTGTTCGCACCTTGGCAATCCATACGTCAAGATCTTCGAAGGACTCCGCGAAATCCTCCTGGAAGCTGCCTGGCGCTCTCGACGTGGTTGATGCACTTTGCAACCACGACGCTGCTCCTCAATGCCTCTAAGGTCAAAGATCTACAACCCACCCGCGCATTGTGGCCAGCCAAGGGCCTTCCGAGGACCACCGAAATGGCCAGGTCGAAAGTCCGAACTCCGAAAACCCGAACCCCGAAAAAAAGGACGGATCGAACATCCGAACACCGAAAAAAATCTGACGATTGGGTCGTTGTGCTTTGGCACCGTGACGCCTTTGAGAACGCATCGTCCTCCATATCAGTCGCGATCAGCTTCTCCTTCAAGGCCCACTGCTTGCCGATCAACTCGTACTCCACCATGAGGTCGTACGCTTGCACGGCGTTGGCGACGGCCTTCTCGGGCACGGAGAACACCCACTGCTTCGCGGCCTCCGAGAGCATGTACGAAAAGTAGAAGACTGGTGTCTGGCCGACAGGTGCTCGCACATGGATGTCGTCTGTTGCTCGCTTAGTCCTCCTGGTCTTGGATCTTTTGAACGGTGGCGTAGCGCGATCGCTCTCTGCTTCGACAGGGCCCTTCTTCTCCGTTTTGACCGAGACAGTGGCCTCCTCCACCACGCGGGGAACAGCGCCCCTAATCTTCAAATGGGGTTCGAAGATGGTTTCGTCGAAGGTCTCGATGGCGCGATGGATCGACTGCAAGTCTTTCGCAGCCCATGGAAGACGGCGTACATCAAGGCGATGCGGATCTCCTCTGAAATGCAGACCTGTTGCTTCATCAGGGAAGGGAGTAATCTCGCAAATGGCTCCAGCGTCTCGTACAACAAGACATCCTCATGACTTTCCAGCCAATTCTTGACCGCCTTGTAGAGGGCAACCAGGCCTTTCTCACACCTACTGTCTAACTGGTGAAAAGCCAATTGAACGTCGAAAATAGCTTTGCCCACAACATTCGGACTGTGTCTGGTGAGACGCCTGTGCAAGGCGTGCATGGTGCCAAGCGCGAACTTATCGTACCAAGTCTCATCGGCCAACGTCTCCACATGCTCGTTGATGGCCCCCCCTGATCCTGCAAAGCGCCCCGTAGCAACCCCCTGGCGGGAGGGGCGCCGCGACGGAGAGGTCGTTGATACCTTTAGTCTTCTGGAGCGCCAATGCGTTGTCGCCGTCGTCTGCTGGCTCTTGCTTTGGCTCTTCTTCTCCTGGCTGTTCGGCTCCAGGGTCGCGGTCCTGATCGCCGTCGCCGTCGGCCTCATCGCCCGTGCCCTCGGCGCTCACTGGCATGGCCATGTCCTCCTCAGGCGTCTGGGGCACGGCGGGCGGTGCGACTGACGTATGCGCCATCGTGCTCACGATCTTGCTGTAGAAGCCATGGCTGTACGGGGCAAGCTCCAGCCTCGCCGCCGCCGTCTGCTCGGTGAGGTCATCGTCCTTCGGCTCCGAGGCTTGAAGTCCCAGCTGCTGCTGCTCCTCCACGGAGGGCTCGGCCTTCGCAATCTCGCCAAAGTCGTCGCGGAGCTCCTTCCTGCTTGACATAGCCATGCGCACCAGCTACATCCACACAACTCAGGACGGCTGAGGCCTTGTCGAACTGCACCCTGTTCCCGAGGCGCCTGGGCACGACCTGCGCTTGCTCTTCAGCGCACTCGAGAGCCTCCATCACGTCTGGCAGCTCAAGCTCCTGCATGGGACCAAGCATAGACCCGCTCGCCGCGGAGCCGCTCGCCATTCCCACCGAGAATTACACTCCGCAAGAGGGGCAGGGGTCTGGCAGAAGGCTGGTTCGCTTCAGAGTTCTGTGCCCGATGCTGCGATACAGGGGGAGGGCAGGCAACCATGCCTAACATGTGAGAGTGGCCGGAGCTCCAGAATCCTGATGAAACCCTCCTCTCCTCCACCTTCTCCTCCTGCCCTCCTTCTCCTCCCTCCCCATCTTGGAAACTAGCACAACACAATCGATCGAGGTGCCAGGACCCCCCCCCCCAGGGGGTCAAGAGGTAGAGGCCAGAAACTTGGGTCGAAAGCCCCAAAAGCTTAGACACGATATTGTTTGTGTGCTTTTTTGCCTAATGGGTTCTTAACCATTGGCAAGGGAATGGTTGGATGTGCTCTCGCCACATTAGCTGTCGCGCCAACATCTAAGGGGCTCCTGGGGCTCCCCGAACCTCTGGTGTTCTGGAACCTTAGTCAATAATTTCGTGGGCGCTCAGAAGGTTCCTTCGGTGCTTCAACTGCCCCCGCATGCATTTCTCATAGATTGTACCACAATGATTGCACCACATAGATGAAGACGCCAGCGCCTACCACATAGACTGCATCACATCGATTACACCACGCAGCTCACACCGCATATATTGCACCATTTCAATAGCCTCACAAAGCTTGCACCTGATCAGTTCAACTCGCTGGGCGTCGTTTCTGAATGGGCATCGTTTCTGGATGGCCTCCTTTTTGATAGCGCCATGGTCAGGGGAACTGTTAGTGACACAAACAGCACAGAGTGCACGAAATTAAACCACCTGCTGATGTTACTCGCAACTTTGATGATCTCATCAAGTGAACAATACTCATCCCAATATCCACTGTGTATCTATACGGTAGCATCATAACCATCCCAATGTTCACTGTATAACAATGAGTGTCCCAATGTTCACTGTAGGTGTTAACCAAGAGAGTCAGCGCCAATCTTTAGTGTCCCAACTGTCTGTATTCCAGCTGCTGCTCTTCCAATCTGATTTGTCCCAGCTTTCTCCACCACGCCAATCTTTTTTGTCCCAGTTGCGATCTGACGCGTCCCAGCTGCGATCACTACCATCATCACGCCAATCTTGTTTGTCCCAGCTGCGACCACTACGATCATCACCCTTACCCGCGCTCATGTCCACGCCGCCCATGGGGCCCATGATGCAGCCGCTCATGCCGCCCATGCGCTGCGCATGCCCATGCTGTCCATGTCAATGCCCGTGCTGCCAATGCCCATGCTCCTCATGCCCATGCTGTCCATGCCCATGTTGCCCATGCCCATGCTGCCCATGTCTACCATGTCGCTCGTGCCGCGCCTGCCGTTGCCCTGCAGGCTGATGCCCTGCTGGCTGATGTCCCCCTCGAGGATGCCCTGCTGGCTGATGTTCTCCGTCCTGACGCTCGGGGTGGCAACCAGCGGGGGCGTGTGCATCTTGGGAGTCGTGAGCTCTGTCGGGCGCGGGAATGCTGGCTGCTGCATCTTGGGCGGCTGCATCGGGGGCGGGCCTGCTGGCGGTACTGGTGCCATGCCTCTCGCCCGTGCAGATAGCGGTGGCGCGCTGAAAGACTTCGAAATCCCTGCAAATAGCGGCCCGAATGACTTCGAAATCCCTGCAAATAGCGGCGAGGGCGACGGTGACACCTTCGCTTCTTGTACGGGTGCGCCTGCGCTTAGTACCCCAGCATGCCTTGGACTTGGTGGACTTGGAGGCCCGTCGATACCCTGAAATGACGCCTTTGCTGATGGCTGAATGCTGTCATGCGGCCTGAGCAAGCTCACGGGATTTCTTTGTATCGGGCTCTCCTTGCTTCTCCACAGGCGTACCAGGGCTCCTTTTACTCGGAGCCATCCCCGTCGGCGCTGGTGTCATGGGGGCCTTTGGACGCGATACACTGAGAGACTCTGGCTGAGGATAGTAATCAGGTACATTCGTTGGCCAATCCTCATGTGGAAACAGGGCCGTCGTTCCGCCGTCGTCGTGGGCGAAAAACAACATTCCAGGATTGCGCGCACTAGAGATCGTTACCCTCCACCCCTTTGGGGGTCTGGGCGTTAGCTCGTTCAGCGCCTTCTGGGCCAACGCCAGCTCTTCCGTCATTCTTGGCTACGCGCATCCAGGGAACACTGCCAAGATCCAGTGGCCTTCTTGGCCCTACCTATTGGGCCTCTTGGCCCTCTCTGGGCCTTCTTGGCCCTCTTGGGGCCATATTGGGGCCCTCTTGGTCCTCGTGGCCCTCTCTGGGCCTTCTTGGCTCTCTCCAGGCCCTCTCTAGGCCCTCTTGGGCCACTGCCAGGGGCCACCTCTGGGCCTCCTTGGCCCTCTTGGGGCATTCTAAGGGCCCTCTCGGGCCTGGGCAACCGGCCACCTCTGAGCCTTCTTGGCGCGGGCAGTTGGTTTTGTGTTGTGTGTGTGTGTTTTGTTTGTTGGGGTGCGGGCAAAGGCCCCTCTTGGGGCCCTATCTAGGCTTCTCCTTGTGGGTGGGGGCGAAGGCTATTCCGATGCTGGGTCGCGGCAATGCCCCCTTGCAATATTGCCGACACAAGAAGTCGAAGCCGTAAGCAACCTGTTCGGAAGTAGAAGTCGTAAGCAATCTTGTCGATACAAGAAATAAGCAATCTGTTCTTCTGGATACCAAGAAGTCGTAAGCAATTTTATCGATCCAAGAAGTCGTAAGCAATCTTGTGCGCACAAGAAGTAAACAATATTGGATAGCGCCTGGAAGCAAGGCTCTTCGCGAGCCTGAATGCAGCGGAATGATTGGATCCACCTCCGCCACATGGAGCCCTTCGCTTTTGGGAACGTTCTTGGGAGCCCTAGTGTAAGGGGTGGGGTTACGTCATCGCTCGCTCTTGGGAGCCGTGGCTGTCAGGGATGTTTACGTTGCGGCTCGCTCTTGGGGGCCTTGGTTTGAAGAGCTCATTGCGTCACCGTTCACTCTTGGTGGCCTTGCTGTGAAGTTTTTTACTTCGCAGATCTTTTTTTTTTCCAAACAAAAAAAAATAGCGGCACGGGCATTCATGAACCGTTGGAAAAAAAAAAAAAAAAAAAAAAAAAAAAAAAAAAAAAAAAAAAAAAAAAAAAAAAAAAAAAAAAAAAAAAAAAAAAAAAAAAAAAAAAAAAATGGTCTTGAATACGGCTCGCGCTGGAAAAAGTTTGTTTTACAATGTTTCTTGTATAACAAAATCGGTTGTCTGAACCACAGCCATGGGACAGCAGACGTCGCCGCGCTGAGCTGGGGCGCCTTGGGACAGAAGAAATTGCTGCACTGAGCTGGGGTGCCTTGAGACAGCAGAAGATGCCGCACTGAGCTGGGGGGTGCCTCGGGGCAGAAGAATTTGCCGCACTGAGGTGCGGTGCCTTGGGGCAGCAGAAGCTGCCGCGCCCAGCTGGGGTTGCCCTGGAGCAGCAGACGTTGCCGCGCTGAGCTGGGGCGCCTTGGGGCAGAAGAACTTGCCGCACTAAGCTGGGGTGCCTTGGGGCAGAAGATGCCGCACGGAGCTTGGGTGTCTTCGGACAGCAGAAGATGCCGCACTGAGGTGCGGTACCTCGGAACATCAGGGGATGCCGCACTGAGCTGGGGTGCCTTGGGGCAGAAGAAGTTGCCGCGCTGAGCCGGGGTGCCTTGGGGCAGCAGAAGTTGCCGCATTGAGCTGGGGCTGCCTTGGGGCAGCAGAATTTGTCGCTCTGGGCTGGGGCGCCTTGGGACAGAAGAAGTTGCCGCACTGAGCTGGGCGCCTTGGGCAACAGAGGATGCCGCACTGAGCTGGGGAGTCCTGGGGCAGATGAAGTTGCCGCGTTGAGTTGGGGTGCCTTGGGGCAGCAGAAGATGCCGCACTGAGCTGGGGTGCCTCCCATGGGCAGCAGAAGTTGCCGCACTGAGCTGGGGTGCCTTGGCACATGAGGGTGCCGCTACTGAGCGGGGGGTGCCTGGAAAGAAGAGCTACCGCACTGACTGGGTTTCCTTGACACAGAAAGAATAACCGCACTGACTGGGCGCCTTGGGAACACAACGTTGCCCACTGATCGGTGTGCGCATGGGACGCAGAATAGTTGCCGCCTGACCCTGTGCGCAACTGGGCAAAGAATTGCAGCCCGAGCTGTGTCCTTGGGACAACAGAAAATATGCCGTGCTGTGCTGCCGCGCTGTGCTGAGGTGAATTGGACCAGAAGAGGTTGTTGCACTGAGCTGGGGGTGCCTTGCGACAGCAGAAGTTGCCGCGCTGAGCTGAGGTGCCCTGGGGCAGAAGAAGTTGCCGCACTGAGCTGGGGTGCCTTGGGACAGCAGAAGTTGCCGCACTCAGCTGCGGTGCCTTGGAACAGAAGAGGTTGCCGCACTGAGCTGGGGCTGCCTTGGGGCAGCAGAAGATGCCGCGTTGAGTTGGGGCGCCGTGGGGCAGAAGAAGTTGCCGCACTGAGCTGGTGTGCCTTGGGACAGCAGCAGAAGATGCCGCATTGGGTTGGGGCGCCTTGGGACAGCAGAAGTTGCCGCGCTGAGATGGGGTGTCTTGAGGCAGCAGAAGTTGCCGCGCTGAGCTGGGGTGCCTTGGGGCAACAGGAATTGCCGCACTGAGCCGGGGTGCCTTGGGGCAGCAGAAATTGACGCACTGAGCTGGGGTGCCGCGGGGCAGCAGAAGGCGCCGCACTGAGCTGAGGTGCCTCCCTTGGGCAGCAGAGGGTGCCGCACTGAGCTGGGGTGCCTCGGGGCAGCAGAATATGCCGCACTGAGCTGGGATGCCTTGGGACAGGCGAAGTTGGCCGCGCTGAGCTGGGGTTTCCTTGGGGCCGCAGAAGTTGCCGCACTCAGCTGGGTGCCTTGGGGCAGCAGACGTTGCTGCGCTGAGCTGTGGTGCACTGGGACAGCAGAAGGTGCCGCGCTGACCTGGGGCGCACTGGGCCAGAAGAGGTTGCCGCGCTGAGCTGGGATGCCCTGGGGCAT